TTAGCTGAGGAATGTTGGCCCAGTATTTATAATGCTACAGCATAAAAAAAAAATTGCTTCTGCTACAAAGAAACAAATGAATACTATATAATTTAGTTAAAACTGAAAATGTCAATGGCATTATGACAATATTGCAGTTGAAAAATGATAGTTACTAAAGTGTTAGGAAGTTTGTTTAAAATATTGTCATAGCTTTAGGTTGAGATATAGGAGTCATGTCCTTATAAATTTTAATGTCAATGATCTTTGCTAACATCTTTTAGAAAGGATTATGATTACTAGGCAAAAAGTAGGAGCCAAGTTAACCCTTCCAGTTCCCACGAGTAATGAACATGCATAGCAAATGAAAGAAAGACATTGTACTCCATTAATGACTATTGAGAAAGGATCAGAGGACACAGGAATTCAGGTTAAGAAAATAGTTTGGGGGAAAACCTGAGGAAAAAGCACTGCTAAAATAAATAAGGAGTACTTCCCTACCTATACCCATCCACAAAAATTACCAAAGCAAGGCTTAATTCATTGCTTATTTAATTGAATTAAAAGTAAGCCATATTTTGTGTTAGTTACATATTAACCTTGGAAGAGAAGTAAACTTTTCACAGAATCACAGTAGAATATACTGGAGTCAAGAGCAGTTCCCTAGTACTGCACATTATATATCTGCCCATTAGGAAAAAAAACCCATCTTTTCAACAACAAGAAAGGGACTTTTTTTTTTTTGTATAAAGTTCAGCAAGCATTAAATATGGAGGTTTGAAAAAATATTCTAGCTTTAATCTCATCAGTCTGACTTCATTTTCACAATAAAAAAAACAACAAAGTATGATTTCAGTCTGAAAATGGATTCTTTCTCTTTAACTTACACAACCTAAAACTCTGGTTTCTTAAAAGTTTTATTGAGAATTCTACATTTTCAAGCAATTATTGTCAAACATCAAAATTTTGCTATCAAGTAAAGATATTTTTGTGCCTTGTATACTTTTCAATTTTCCATTGGAATTAAGAAATAAGCTACTGCTTATCCTAACTTGAAATCTGATGAGAAGTAAGGTAATGTGGCTAAAAAACAGGATCTGGAAAGCTTATGTTAAAGGAAATATATTTGAATTACTTTTGGTAACTGTCAGTAATTTGGGGGAGGGGGTAAGTCACTTAACTCTGCAGACTCAAATTTTTATAAGTAAAATAATGGGTTGTTGTAAAATTTAGATCTACGAGGTCTTTTCCAAATCAAATCTTCTTTACTAATTGAAGCTAATGATTCTATTTATATTCAGAATCAAAAGGCCATCTCTTCTTCTTGGTTTAAAAGTAATTGTTTCAAAGGAGAATCACATTAATAAGGTGAAACATGACTATTGTTTGACCTAGTATTTCCCCAAATCCTTCATGAACATATCAATATGCTACTGTTGAAATATTTTACCTCATTCCTCTACTTTTCCCCAGTTTTTATCAGTGAGTATGTAACTTGATCTCATCAAAGTAGGATTGGTACATTTTTTAATATATTAGATTCTACGGAATGAATATGTTGTGGAAAACACTGGTTTAGGATACAATTTATTCATGGGTATTTTCTAAACGTTTCTCAATAAACATGTATCTTTGGCATTGGGGAAAAAAAGTTAATTCTTTTACAAGTATAGACCAGAGGAAACCAATTGTGTTGTGTTTTTATCTGTTCTATATACTGGTTCTCTGTATAAGGTCACATGCTAGTTTTCATGATTAATTTTAAGGATTTTAGGTTGATATTCAGTTTGATTACCAAAATTAGAAGAGGTGCATTTCAAACTGCACTTTAGGATTGTTGATGGAATTAACCTCCTTAGAAGAGTGATAATTTGCAATTCTTTGATGGGGATGGAGATATTATAGGTCACCTTGAAAATAATTACTATCAGGAGATGACCACTATGGTGAAACCCAATGCCAGGACAAATGGAGGGAGACGGGGTATCATCACATTATTCTTTGAAAATGTTTGAAATACCAAAAGTTCAGTTGATCATAGTGGTATGTTTAAGTTTAAAGCATCTGCTTTTTTGCACTACTCATGTTTGGTGGAGTGAAGAATGAAGTGTGAGGACTTTTTTCTTGCTCTGTGCCAACGTAGAGAGACATTGTAAGTAGCAGAAAGAGCTTAGCTGGTCAGGAGGCCTGGATTCCAGTCCCACCTCTTTCATTTATTAGTCCTTTATTTTGTCTTCTGTAGGATAAGAATAATAGTTTCTGACCTTCAAGTTGTATAACTGAAGAAAGCACTTTGAAATTATAAAATATTCACTTTTAAAATTGTAGTATAATTGTGGCAATTAAAATTTAGGTTGTAACCACTGAAAAAAAATATGCTGTTCTATTTTTTCCTTTTTGGTGCACTTTTCTAGGTGAATGTGCCTCTTAGGAGCAATTGCCTGGGAGTAACTGGATTAAGCTTGGGCTGCACAAGCAGATTGTGCTCCCTGAAGGCCATGCTCCCTGAAAGACTCAGAGCAGCTCAGCCAGCATGTCCAGAGTGTGAAGCATGAAGTACATTTATTCTGCAAAAATGATAAGTAAAAAGATTAAAAATTTCAAGGATTCCATTTTTAATAAATGCAGCAACAAAATCAATGAAAACTAAAATCATAGAGTAACACATGCCACTATTTTTCACAGATCTCACAGCACCTTGAAAGAGAAATTTACATGTTGATTTGAGTTGTTCAGATGTTTTAAATACAAAGAGCAATTTTTTTAAAGTGGTGAAGCCAAGAATAAAAAAATAAAATCAGTGACAGAAATTGGAACAAAATATACTGTACAAGAAGGTATTTGAATCTTTGAATATGAATTGAAAATGAGAAAATGGGAAGGTGCCAAATCATTCCACAGTACTGCTTGAGCCCTGAGAATATATGGACCTCTGATAGTCATTGAGTTGTCAGCTGTCACCTTCTCAGAGTGTTGTGATGATGGATGAGGGGCTTATCAAAATTTCAAAGCGTTCTGAAAATCATATAAAAAGCAGAATTATACTGTTTATATAAAAATGTGTCGAGCGTTCAGGTTATGTAAGGAGATTTAAATAGAAGATAGCTAGGATTTTTTTTAAAAATAATTTATTGTCAAATTAGTTTCCACAAGATAGCTAGGATTTTGGAGGTTTATCTTTTATTCTTTCGTGCATACATCAAACAATATTCTACTTGTCATCTTGCCTCAGCTTAATTCAGTATAAACTCACAATGGCCAGAAAGTTATACAGTATATCAGTCATGATTTTGTATCTGGAAATAAAAACAAAACAAAAAACCCCCCAAACACCTTCTTATATAATGTTCCTGTGAGTCAATGCCATGTTTTTCTTAGGAAAATGTATTAGTATGTTTAAAAATTATCACTTAGAAAAGGAAAAAAATCATGTTGTGGAGTCATTTTAAAGAATACATCTTTTAATGTTAACATTTGAGGTAAAATGTGGATTTTTTTCTTCCATTCCCTTCTTCCTTTCACTATTAACCTTTACTTGGAGATTTGTTTATTGCTCTATGCCAGGAGTAGCAAGTGACTGGCTCGTGGATTTATCAGTTGATTAATTTGCTTAACTTGTCTTTTGTGGGGGGAGTAAAGATAAGGACAAAAATATAATTGATCTTGGCTATAGCTATCAAAGTGAAACAGGACAGCAAATATCATATACCGCCAGGAGATGGTGATGTTGTCCATAAAGGTAGACCATTTAGCTGTTTTCTGCAATGTTGGAACTGTTTTAAAGCCCTCTGTATTTTCAAACTTCACACACGATCTAAAGTTTTTAAATGCCAAATTTTGTGAATGCTTTCCCATTTTTAAATCAAGAGGTTTTAGTTCCATATCTATATCATATAAAGAATTAGACCTTCTCAGGGCATTGGCACACACAGCACATTTTTGCAAATGGGATTATGAACCTATAATTAAGTGATGTTACTTAAGGGGGTGTTTTTTTATCCCTTATAGTGAAATTATAATGGGATGACTAGGGAGAAACTTTTTTTTCTCCCCTGTCTTTTAAATTCCTTACTCTTTTAAAAAATATCCTATTGATTTTCTCCTCCCCACTACTGCTGTATAGTACCTTAACCATGAATAATAGACCTCTGTAATTTCTACTGCAAGATGCAGTTGTTTAGAGTGTGAGATCTAATATTACACACAAAACTGCCTTAAAAGCTTTACTCGTAGTTACAAAAATTTCTTACTTGGTTGATATTTTCAACTGTCAAATTCTCACACAGGACTAGCCTCAGAGCGGAATGTTACCAAGTAAACTTATTTTCCAAAGAGTGATTGTTTTATCTAAGAATTATGTTTTATTGCATAACCTAATGAATTCAGCTAGGCCCTCGGGAATACAGTATTTCTTTCTTTCATTCTATGGCTAATTGCCCTCAGTTCAATTTTGCCACTGCGATACCAATTCCACATCGCTACTGGGTTAATTGGACAATGATGAGTGTGATCATTGGAGACCTTATTTTAGTGAGGAGTTTTAGAAACGTTACAAAATGAATCCGGAAGGACGCCGAAATTAATGTCTACAAAATTATTTGCAACATGTTTATATCCCAGGCCCTGATCTACGCGCTTGGGGGAAGTCAGTGAGCAAAACCCATAAAAGGCTTCCGTCCTCATGGGGCTTACAATGAAGATGGGAGGGCCTATTCAATACAATACATCTAAATAAATTATACGGTATACTGATGGCGACAGCTACTCCAGAAAGAGCAAAAGCGGGTCCGGGGCATGCTGAAGGGGCGAGGCCGGGCGCAGTACGAAGTCGGCTGGTCAAGAGAAACCGCGTGGAGGCTTGAAAGAGGCGCGAGGTCGGCGCCCTGCAGGAGGGTCCTGCGGCGGATGGGGGCAGGGGAGCCGGCCCGGGAACCGAAGCCGGAGCAGTTCAACAGATCTTTATTAGGAATTCGCTCCAAGGTGGATTCGGGTTCCTAATTAGACTTCCGGCGAGCCAATTGCTGGGGGATCCAGCGCCAGCGGCCTCCCCGCCTGGCGGGGGACGGCTGCGCTCGGAGCGGTCAGCGCGGCGGCGGAGCGCCCACCTGAGCCCCCAGCGGTGCAGACCCCCTAACGCGGCGGCTCCGCAGCCCCGGCAGTGAGCGCGCAGCGGGCGCGGGGCGGGGCCGGCGGACGCCATCGCGTCGCTACGGGTAGGCGGCGGCGGCGGCGGCCTGCTCAGGACGGCCGCGGCGTCCTCGCCGCTCTCCGCTCGCCCACGGCCGCCGGGCCCTCGGCTGGTCCCCCGCCTGGTGCCCCGCGGCGGCGCGCGCGGCCAGGTTGGGCGGGGCGGTTCCGGGGATGAGGAGGCGGCGGCGCGCCGAGACGATGCTCGGGAGCTGAAGAGACGCCGGCACAAGGCGCGGCGGCCGAGCGCAGCGCCGACCCGCGGGATGGCTCAGCCGGCGGGCGGCGGGGAGCCCCGGGCGGAGCCGGCGGGGGGCGAGGGGCCGCCGGACCCCGGGGCGGCGGGCGGCCCGCCGGACGCGCTGAGCTTGGAGGAGATACTGAGGCTCTACAACCAGCCCATCAACGAGGAGCAGGCGTGGGCCGTGTGCTACCAGTGCTGCGGCTCCCTGCGCGCCGCGGACGCCGGCCGCCGCCAGCCCCGCCGCCGCGTGCGCTCAGCCGCTCAGATCCGTGTCTGGAGGGACGGCACCGTCACCCTGGCGCCCGACGACGCGGGAGAACCGCCCCCCGCTGCGGGTGAGACAGCCGACTTGCGCCCCCACGGAGAGTCCCCGCCGCGACCCCCTTCCCCTCGCAGCCCCCGGCCTGGTCCTTCCGCTCCGTGACCCCCACCCGCCACGAGAGTACCCCTCCGCGGCACCCTTTTCCCCTCGCAATCCCTGGGCCCTCCCCGCCCCCCCGCTCCGCGCCCCCTACCTCCTACTGGAGGATCCCCGCTGTGGCCTCCCCCCTTTTCCCTCGCAGTTCCTGGGCCCGGCCCTTCCGCCCCGCGACCCCCCACCTCCCAAAGGAGACCGGGAGGAGCCGGGCCTGGGGCCGGCGGGGGAGGGTGGTGCTGGCGCTGTGGCGGAGCGGGGCCCCACGTAGGTCCGAGCAGGGGGTGGGGGGCGGGTAGCGGCACAAAGAAGGGCTGTGAAGAGGGTGTCTGGGCGGGCCTGCGCCCCCTCAGCTGGGCCACGGACCTGCCCAGGGTGCTGGTAATTGTACACACTGGCATCGGACAGCTGCCCGCGTCTTGTTTGGGAAATGGAGTGGGTTGGGTCCTTTTCGTGATAAGCTGTGTATACATACTTACATGCCACGGCTATTTACTGGGGTTGCGTTTATGATGTGATAGGTGCTATGAAAGGTTCACGTGAGATCTCGCCAAGGGTACTTAATTCTGCCGTCAGGTAAATTACACCTTTCAGAATGAGTAGTCAGCTGATAGTATTTATTTATTTTTTTTTTAATTTGGCAACAAATTCTTTGGGTTAAGAAATACAGAATTCCCCGAGGAGAATTTTGTTATATTGGCAGAGATGGAGACTAAATAATGATTTCCAGCTCCTGAAAATTATAAAATAACTACTATTTACCTGCGTATTAAAATTTGTTGTGATGAAAAAACAGGTTTGTCAGGTCACAAGTTGAAAGGATTTCAGATAAACAAAATGGATTTTGGTTAGGTCATTGTCTGGTGTAAATTCTTCAAGATTATCACCTACACATTAATTTGTAGTTAGGGCTTACTCAGATTTAATGATGATCATGAGGGGATTGATAATAGGTTTCACGTGTTAGTTTTAGTATAATTCAGTCTTTTGAGAGGCGAGTATATTAAAAACATAAGAGAAATAATTTGCCCTCACTTTTAGAAAGTTGATGAAAGTATCATAATGCTAACGGTGAAAGATGTAATTCGTAAGTAGTCCGTAACGTGACATTTAATGCAAATCCTTATTTGAAGTAAACATTCAAGGTCATAGTTAACCAATCCTTTCATTTCCACCAGAACATTAATTTGTGGGTGTGTCATATAAACACATTTTAGAACTTTTATTTACTTAAATTGAGTCTTTATAATTCTTTTGAAATTATTTTATTTCAAATAGCTTTTAGTTTATTTGATGTGTTTATTGTTTTTAAGTTTGGACTTAACATTAGTGGAAAATACTCAGGATTATAGTTTACTTACCGTGTATTAATATGATATAAAAAGAGACATTTATTATAAAATACAGCAGAGCTGTGCCCTGGAATCTGGCATTTCTAGGGAAAAAATGTGTGCAACCCTGTTTTATTATTATATTTTTAATGTTTGTTTACTTTTGAGAGAGCACACAAGCAGGAGCGAGGCAGAGAGAGAGGGAGATACACAGAATCTAAAGCAGGCTCTAGGCTCTGAGCTGTCAGCACAGACCCTGACAAGGGCTTGAACCTGTGAGCCACGAGATCATGACCTAAGCCAGTCAGACGCTTAGCTGACTGAACCATCCAGGTGCCCTGCAACCCCCGTTTAGAAGCAGCATTTGGTAGTGGTGACTTCTGGAAGGAATAAAGAGCAGTTTACATTATCTTTCTCTTGAACTTGATCCCAGAGAGTGTGGATTTTGTTATATTTATGGACCTAGTAGTAGTTTAGTTGTCAAAGACAAGGTGTATTCTGGTGGTAGTTAAAAAAAATCAGAACCTTACATTGAAATGAATTATTATTATTATTTTGCATCATTACTATGAGTGATAACATCTTGACCTCCATGTAATACTCTATTTTCATGGAGAGAATAGTAGTTTTCCCTGCAGTAGTGACAATGGATTTGTAATCTCTTCTTCCGTAGTTCTTTTTTAAAAAATGCTATTTATTATTTTTGGGGGAGGAATGAGCAGGGGAGGGGCAGAGAGAGAGAGAGAGAGAGAGAGAAGCTCAAGCAGTCTTTGCTGATGTGGGGCTCAGACGCAAAACTGCAAGATCATGACCTGAACTGAGATCAGTAGTCGGATGCTTAACTGACTGCAGGGCACAGGCATCCCCTCTTCTTAGTTCTGCTCATGATCTCTGCTACCAGCTGTGGAGAGAGCCCAATCAAAGTTGTTGATGCAGTCTTGAGCATTTTAGGGTTGACCGATTAAAAATCTTTAGGAAGTTCATACCAAAGTGTTGTTTATGTTAGTTTATTTCCTTCTAGGATTTAAGAGTAGTTGCATGGCTACAGAAGGCACAACTGAACACTTAATCTTGATTCTTAAAAATTAATAATAACTTAGTACTGTGCACATGAATTAATTCTGTTTTTAAGGAAAAATGGTAATCATGACACTTTAGTACTTTTTCATCGTAGGGCATTTAACATGTATGTTGTTGGCAATCAACAATATTTATATTTTCATATATTTACCCATTGATTTATTTCCAAATGGAGGTTTAGGGAAATTAAGGGATTTGCTTAAATTCATACTGGTAACTTTGAGTCAAATCCAGGTCTTTCAACCGCTAGGCTTAGAAACAGATTTGGTTTGAATTTGGGTCACCCTTCCTAGCTGAGTGACCTACTGTAAGTTCCTTAACCTCCCTTAATTTAATGAGTTAAAGACACTCAAGCTCTGCATAGACAGTCACCGTGAGTCCAGCCTTGTCATCTGTAAAATGAGAATAGATGACTTTTTCACAAGAGAGTGTTTAAGTGAGATGATGCATGTAAAATGACAATAGCAAAGCTTTGTATGTAGTAGATACTCAGTAAGTTTAGGCTCCTTTTCCCCCTAATTTTGTGTCCTTTCACACCACCATGGTGCCTCTGGTCCTGCAGTTCTGCATTTTTACTCAGAATTGGGACAGATGTGTGGGTTGGGATTTCTCAGTCTCAGCACCATTGACATTTTTGGCTGAAAAATCCATTATGGGGCCTCCTTGTGCCTGTATAGGATGTTCAGCGGCATCCCTGATCTCTACCCACTGGATGTCAGTAACTACCCATCACCCCTCTCCCCCGCCCGAGTCGTAACAATCAAAAACGTCTCTGGACATGGCCAGATGTCCCCTGGGGGGCAAAGTCATCCCCTGTTGAGAAATACTGGTCTAGCAGATGATGAGTGGTATGCAGGATGGTGTTCAGTGTGGAGAATTGGATCCTGGCGGTTATCCTCCAATGAGTGAGTCAGCTGGGCAGCTTCCTCTGCTGTTGAATGAGTGAATGAGTGGCATTGGTTCCCTATCAGTAGTATTGCTCCTCTTAGTCCCATAGATGCGTGGAGTGCATGTCGCTCACATGCCTTCTGGACTTGTTTGCGGTTGAATGTAGTAGTAACTGATTTTAGTTCTTGTTTACTTTTAACAGTGTTGATACATCCAGAATGTTCACATTCAGTTTGAATTAGATTAGAAATATCTTATAAAAGAAATAGGAAAATGATGAAAGATATAGGAGACATGGAAATGAGACCGATATGAGAAAACAACAATGAAGAATAGGCAATTTTTTAAATCATTCAGATATAATCTAGTGCCGTGTACTGACATGGCCACGAAAGCAGTGTGATACAGGACTGGAGATAAATAGAAAAAATGAGTTCTTTAAAGGATATCTTAAGAGTCAAAATGATTAAATTATGAATTAGTATATTTTATGAAGTATTTCTGTGATGACAGAAGGAAACATTGCTTAGAATCAAGAGGGGTTATGATTCTTCTTAGGTGGCTAACTTAATGTTTTTATTGTACCCAATGTACTTGTAGTCATAGTAAGACTTTATTGCTGATAATAGTTTGTTATGTACAGGTTGATGAAGTTTTTGCTTTTACACCGTTATCAAATGAGTTAATGACACTCACGCTCTACATATGTGCCTGCTGTTTGTCACCAGTGTTCCTAACTGGCATTTGGAACACATTATACACATTATTTAGCAAGAGTCATTGATGGAATTTAGGGTGTATTCCAGATCTTTGCAAGATTGAAAACTTTTTTTCCCCTGGGGTGCCACAAAGAATTATTAATAACAGTAATATCAGAGCTTAGAACCAATGCATGGTCTCTCAGCAGCCTCTTAGGCCTTAAATCCCCATCTGACACAAATAACTTATTTCAGATTTTGGTTTCAGACTCTTTGATGTATCTATAATGGTAGATGTATAAAGAACATTTAAGAAGCTATGACCACATCTTGATTTAAAATAATCTTAGATTGGTAATAGGTTTTCCTGGGAGGAACAATGAAAGCCTGCATGAATACTAATAAAGGCATCCTTGGTATAGGGAATGAACATTCAGGCTTCCTTTGGGCTTTGAAAAGAGGACATGATCCGTCAACTTCTCAGCAAGTTTCATGCTAATTTGGTGGGAGAAATGGTCTTGGAATAACATACTATTTGATTTTAAAGAGAGACTGAATACTTGTGGAGAAGGTTAAAGTAGTGAAAACATATTTTAAACGGTTAATTCTTGTTCATTCTTGGTATAATTCTTGAGTGTTCACATCCTGATGATTGAATGAAAGGAACATTGGAGATTTACGTGTATGTGTCGAGGGTAGAGTTTGGGGGTGAATAATGGTGGTAGGGGTTGGTGAAATGTCTTATCAGGTACAGTAATAGGTGAGGATTATTCCATATGAACAATATGTCTAAATGTGTTGGGTAATTAAATTTTAAAAACGTGCATTGAGCTCCTACTATGTGTAAGCAGTGAGTGGTGTAAAAATAAATAGTTCTAGTCATTGAAGAAGAGAAAATAAAATATGAACACAGTGGTAAGTTT